CTGGTATTCCCAAGCGGTTATCCATCTAGTTAATGACCAGGCTCCACGTTGTTTACCGTTGCTGATCTTACGAGAACCGCTGTTTCAACGTGACACGGCAGTAAACCTAAAAATAAGAAACTGAATGATAATTATTTGATCGCATTTGTCTTCTCTTTTTTTTTTTTTTAACACGGGATTGGTCGGCCATTTTCGTTTGTAAAACGCCTGAAAAATGGAAGCAAGCGTCGGTAGTTTTCTCTTGTGGTATTAAGTAAGCTTCGAAGTATGAGAGCTCAAACAAAACTAGCGCCAATATCGCCCTTTGACACTGGGAGGGTGTGCGCATGCACGGGTGTGGCACCTCAAAATAAATGTATTCTATGCAGTAAGGAGAACATAAAAAAAATCAATCAAGGTAATTCTTTGACGATAAAGACACGTTGGCAGAATATCAACTCGTCCCTAATCGTCATATCCGGCCCCGCCAAAAAAACCCCTTAATTAGCAATTATGGGTGTATAGTGTTATAGTACACTGACACATGTACAATAGTTATACTGACAAAGTACACACATTCTAATTTACATTATAAATGTTGGTTATCGTTCAATATTTATGTGTTTAACATAAAATATTATATTAGAATATTTAATTAGACATCTGAATTTATTCATTGGTATTTTTTATTCAATTTCACACCTGTTCTTAAAAAGATTATTGTCGTCCCAATTCCTTGCTTTCACTGTGAATACGAAAATAATTAGAAACACATAAAGATCTTTACTCATGCTTACAAGATTACACAAAATCATTCGATAAATTACGAAATATTAGGAAAACTTGGTCTACATGGAGAAGATAATCAATTAGAATAAAACTAGTCTGACGGGACGCCCTAAGAACAAACTGTTTGCATGCGGATGGATAACGAAGTTTAGTGAATAACTAAAAATAGGTAAAAGGATATGAGGATGTGTTTTGCCACCAGAGTTATTCAACCTGCACACTGCTAGGAAAATGACAATTGGAAATACCAGTTTAGTACCGGCGTATTATTAACAATATACGCTACAATATTGTCTTGATGGAAAATTCAGGCAAAAAAAGGAAAGAACTGTTACAAAAAGTTGTAGATGAATGCAAGAAGAAAGTATTTCTATCTATAAAAGGCAGGATGTGTGTGTGTGTGTGTGTGTGTGTGTGTGTGTGTGTGTGTGTGTGTGTGTGTGTGTGTGTGTAACGAATGCACGGCCGCAATTTTCGACGGATTTGCACCAAAATTTACATGCAGATGCTCCAAGTTAGTGGGAAGGCCAAGACCGACTTTGCATTTCCCAACTCACTTCGATAGTGGAAATAATCGATTTTTTCATGCTTCTACGGCAGTTTTCATGTAGTTTGCGGCCATTTTATACCGACCAGAGTCAGAGCCTATAGCTGGCTGCCACGAATAGGCAGGAAGATTCTATTGGCCAGCGTGAGAGCCAATAGCTGACTGACACGAATGTTAACTAGCATGCTAGCATGCAAAAAAATCGATAGCTGCATTCGTCACAAGTGGGAAAAATTTAAATCTGCATGGCACTTTACTCCAATTGGCTCATTCGCTTGCTTTAACTCAACGTTGATTCTGATTCCGCAGAACTGGGTTGGGTGTGAAAAAGTATTTGTTGTTAACATTCTTTTTCATTCGGTTTTCCAGTTACGAGTCCTTTTTTAAAGCTGATCGTTTTGTGTTCATTTTGTTTAGTTCTTTTTTCGTAACAGATTTAATGTTTAGTATAGAGCTTAGAAAAATTTGCAGTGTCAGATAGGCAAGAAGTCAGGCATGTAGCAACATCAGCACGGCAAAGGGCACTCGTTTAAAATCAAGGAAGGGCAAAAATATTTTAAGTCAAGTGATAGCGATTGCTGTATGAGTCGTACGATTTTTGAATCAAGCACGGGCAACGCCGGGCCATGCTGCTAGTATATATATATATAAAGTTTCCTCCTTGTTACTTTTTGCGAACTTCAACACAAATGGTTGGACATAAGACAGTCTTACCGATGCACACCTTACCTATGTTCCCATATTCCATAAGCTTTACTTTTTTTCCCTTTGCTTTTGGTATTTGTTTTGAATTTCTATTGGCCTCTTAATTACCTAAATTTATTTGCTTTATTCACCTATTGTATCTGACAATAGTATTGTGACTTCTAATTATTATTTGTACTAAGGGCTTACCACCAATCAACCCAGTGTATTTACAAAGTTCCAAAAATTTAGAAATATTCAGGCTGCTAAATCTACCACTACCCCGCCTTTTCCTTCTGCCCCTCTTCTCCCCACCCATGTTCATCCCACCCGTCACAGAACCTTCTACTCCTTCTATATCTTCCGCGTGCGTTTCCTTCAACTCACTATCTTCACTATTAGACTTCGGCCTACCCCCCTCCAAAAAAAAAAAAACAAATGCTTAAGTATGATTATATTAATACTGACCTTTATTTGGATTAAGATCTCTTTCATTCATTAAATTAATTTGAATCGACCTGAGTTGTCCTGCTTAAAAACAGCAAACGGTAGCGGTCAGTGAAAATGACAACCTAATATTAAAATCTCAAAAGTATAGGGTAAATTCTTGGCTATTTAAACCGACTACTACAAACCACTAAACCCTTAGCCCTTCACCCATCCCTTCTCTCTCACGTTACCTCCCCACTGCCAATCTAATGTGTCTGTTCGGTGTACTTTCTCCATTTGCGGAGACTTCGATCTGATGAGTTGAACATCTCCTCGGTACTGACAAGTAAAAATTAAAAAACGAAATGGATAATTAAAGTCTCCGCCTTCTTATCATGCACGCACACACACACACACACACACACACACACACACACATATATATATATATATATATATATATATATATATATATATATATATTTTTTGCCTCGGGGTTCTTGATAGGCTACAGAGGCGGATATGCAATATAATTGGCCCTGCTCTGGCATCTCGTCTACAGTCACTTTCTCACAGACGCGCCGTCGCCTCTCTCTGACTGTTTTACAAATACTTTCATGGCAATTGCTCCGAGGAGCTGCATTCGCTGGTTCCCAGACTTCACGAGTTCAAGCGCCCTACGAGGCTGGCATCCCGCTCTCACCCTTTCACTGTCGAAACTCCTAAATGTAGCCGTCTCTTCTACTCCAATAGCTACATATCTCGCACCTCTCGCTGGTGGAACTCCCTTCCCTATTCCAGTTTCCCTGAGAGCTATAATCTCCAGCTATTCAAATGTAATGTCAGTCGACATCTCCAGTTGCCTTGATCTATCCACTATCCTTCTCCTCATCCTTTCTTCTATCACTCCTATCTGGTCTTGCTCCAAACTTTCTGTAACCCCTTGCGTCCTAGTGGCTTCCCGCCTTGCTTGGGGTGAAACGCTTAAAATATATATATATATATATATATAGGTTACCAACGCCCACATAAACATGAAAACACACACACACACACACACACACACACACACACACACATATATATATATATATATATATATATATATATATATATATATATATCATACCTCCACACCGAAACCCTACCATAAGCGTGACACATCTGGAACTGTGAAGTTTGAGACAATGACTTACGTCACTGTGCCGTGGTGTTAACGACATTTGTTTGGGCTTCTGCTCTTATATTATATGAAAGCTAAATGAGTTACAAAAAATATTAAATTATGGAGAGCCAAGGGACACTACAGAGAGAAGACGACTGCTTGCTCGTGAATGCTAAACTTTTAAGAGAATCATTTTAAGGTAATAAAAATCGCATGTGTGTCTTGAAGTTTCACTGGAAAACGCACGTAAATGATTTAAATCAATTGTTACATCAGTTAAAAATGTGACTGAAAAAAAAGGATTGTCTGTGCTAAGAGGAAGTGGTATTCTGTTGTCAACGTGAATATTTAAAAATGAACATTCACTCTGAGATTCTAATCGCACCTATAAATGAAAATAAACAAAAAACTATATATATATATATATATATATGCTTCATGCCGAATGGTTTTGAATTATATATTTTAATTATTCTTTTTAATGAAAGTTTATATTAATGATTATTTCTTATTTACAGTTTCATCAATTTACAATTATGTCATTTTGCTTCCACACCTAAATGTCATCAAATTCCTTTAACGAAGATAATTTATTAGCCTTATCATAGCCGGATATAGAAACTACAATGGGATAATTAAATGACCTCATAAGCTTAAAAAAGTGTCCCCCTACACAAAATCATATATATATATATATTTATTTTACATTCAACATCATCACTTGATAAGACACTGGGAGTGTTGAAACAAAATGGCTATTTTTGTAGTGATTTTATAACATATTTATGTTATAAATTTTTTAAAATAAATAATTATATATATATATATATATATATATATATATATAATTATTTTTTAAAAATAGGATTCCTTCGATACATAAGAGTTCTCATGTTTCAAAAACAAGAGCCGAAAAGCTCTGTTTCACCCTCAAGCGAAACCTTTTGGACCCAAAAAAGGTTCCAAAATATTTAATATACTATACTTAAACATGAAAAGAATAAACAAAAACTAAAAATTCTTGAAGCTATATGCATAAAATAGTTGAAACCTAACCTGAACAAAATAATCTATGAAATCGCCACCAATATTCTTAAATGCCAATAATTTATAACAGAAGCCATTGGTTTATACTTAATACTTCTCGTTTTCACTCTCGCGTGGTCATGTGTAGCGTCATGAGCTGCGGTGCGATTTTCGCTTCCAGCGTCTCGTATGTACGAATCTGTCGTTGTTTGGAAATCTTCCATGTAAACAAAAACAGACTATCATTATTGCAGCACGACTTCAGAACTGACAAGTACTCTAGCCACAAACTGGGATTCGAACGTGGGATAATATGCTTTGGTTTGAGCGCAGAGTTAAATCTGATCAAAGAACGCACAGTTGTCTTAGAAAGTGTGTCAGATGCAAAAGTACTACACACCGGCTCATCGCAACAGCTCATTTCATCCGCTCACCCTACCTGCTCATCCTAACCGCTCATCTCACCCTCTCATTTCACTCGTTCATCTTATCTGCTTATCCCATCTGCTCATCCCACCCCCTCATTTTCACTCATTTCTCACCCACTCATACCACCAACTCATCTCACCCGCTCATCTCATCCGCTCATCGTACCCGCTCATCGCACCCACACGTCCTGCCCGCTTATCCCACCCGTTCATTCCATTCGCTATCTCATCCACTCATCCGCTAATCTCACCCACTCATACCACCAACTCATCTCACTCGCATATCCGCTCACATCACCCGCTCATCTCACCCGCTCATCGTACCCGCTCATCGCACCCACACATCCTGCCCGCTTATCCCACCCGTTCATTCCATTCGCTATCTTATCCACTCATCCGCTCATCTCACCCGCTCATCCCACCCGCTCACATCACCCGCTCATCCCGCCTGCTCATCCCACGCGCTCATCCCACCCGTTCATCTCATCCGGTCATCTCACCCGCTCATCCCATCTGCTCATTTCCCTCGCTCATCTCACCCACTCATACTCACTCGTATATCCGCTCACATCACCCGCTCATCCCACCCGCTCATCCCACCCGTTCATCTCACCTGCTCATCGCACCTCCTCATCCTGCCCGCTTATCCCACCCGCTCATTCCACTCGCTATCTCATCCACTCATCTTATCCGCTCATTCCACCTGCTCATTCCACCTGCTCATTCCACCGGCTCATCTCACTAGCTCATCTTCCAGATCTAAATTATGACTGAACATTTGTCGTGAGAGAAAAATGAGATCAAGGAATTTGACAATAGAAGACCAGCTGCTTTACACTGAGGTTTGAAAATAATAAACTTGTGCGTGAATATTCGGTGTCACTGACCTGCCATACTGTGTCTCTGATGTGGACTGTCAACTGTTTACCGTCTACCATGGTGCTGTGACTGGAAACTGTTTCTGAAATGAAAAGCAAGAAATTATTTTTAAATTTTTGATTTTCAAAAAGTAATGTGCATCTCCTGCAATATAACTAAATTCAGTTAAACTATATTTGCGAAGAAAAAAGTTGAATCGGTGTTGGAGGAATTTTTTTTTTTCATCACTTAACAATTTATTTATTTATCAAACATTTGTTCATTCTCTCCTCAAAAATGAACAAAAATATTTCTTACTTTCTCCTCATATTCGCGAACATTTTTTTTCTTCACACTTTCTTTCTTATTGTCTACTCTCGTACCATTTTCTTCCTTTCTTTTTTATTTCTTTTCTTCTCTTTCTTTCTTTCTTTCTTTCTTTCTTATTATCCACTCTCATACTTACTCTATTTTTCTTCCTTCCTTCTTTTTTATTACCTTCCCCCACCTTTCTTTCTTTCTTTCTTTCTTTCTTTGTTATTATCCACTCTCATACTTTATTTTTCTTCCTTCCTTTCTTCTTTTTTATTACCTTCCCCCACCTTTCTTTCTTTCTTTCTTTCTTTCTTTCTTTCTTTCTTTCTTTCTTTCTCCTTATGCTTATATTTATTACCTTTTCTCCTCCTTTTCCTCTACCTTTTTTCTTTTCTTTTCTTTCCTAGAGGGCTCTGTGTTACGTGCTTCTCCCGGAAGGCAATGCAGATGAGGCTGATTCTTATTAGAAGCTCCATAAATCTACCCCACTGTCAGTTCTGCTTCATTCAGTATATCTACATGCACATCCCACACACACACACACACACACACACACACACGCACACACAGCCATACACACAGCCACCCCCACACTCATACACAGCCACACACACACTCACACACACACGTACACACACACAGGCACAATCAATGTAGACCCCAACTGTCGCGTACATTAAACCCTTTTCAATTGTCACTTCAGCAAAACACGTTAATTCTTGTCGCCGACATTTTGAAAAGATTTCATTGCAAAGAACAAAAGGACCGTTTTCATGGAGGTCGTCCTGTTGAAAGATTGCTTGGAACATGACGTGCGCTCAGGAGTCTGTAAATTCAGGTCAGGTCGTCTAGTGTAAAGTTGAAGCCTTAATTTAGAGTATTTGCCATTTAAGAATTTGGAGGTAGGGTAGAAGCACGATTTCGTGAAAATATGTTTTATTCATACGTCCTCCTCTCTTTTCAACGTTCAGCTTTCGATTCTTTATACAGCAATCTCTTGTTCCAAGACCCAGGGTGGAGTCTTGAAACCGCAAAGAATACCGATATATGGATTTTATAAAAGTCTGCGATATATTATAAAATCCATATTTAAAGAATCTAAGATTAGACTACTCGCAACTACGACCGGTGTAGCCTAAGTTCTTTCACTTCCTAAAAAACACCCTCCAATAAATATACGGACACTACCAGACAGAAAAAAAATACACACTAGATGTACACCAGCACAAACATTATCAACAAAATTCCGCATAGACCAACTAGAATTATGATACACCAACACACAAAAAAATACACAGGAACGCTATCAAACAAGACAAATACACGTGAGGTCTGCTTAACGAATGGAAAATAAAACACAAAAAAAAAAAAAAAGAATTCAAGAATTTTCTTTGATCTTCCATATTTTATTACTGATGACGCTTAAATAAAAGCGAAACATGTTAAAATTATAGACGTTTTCTTATTTTTCTTGTTTTCAGTGTTCACCTGTCTGGTGCGATGATTAGCTAACCCTTGTTACATTCCAGTTATAGACACCGGCTTAGGCACATTTGTTTTTCACTAATTGTTGGGAGAGGACGCATAATCTCTTATGATCAATAGTTTTAAACAAGGTCAGTTCGACTTCTGATTTTGTGGTCGTACAACCATCAATAGCTTCCTATCAATTTTGTTTACCCAATTTTACTCACAATGTTTGGTTCAACCCGTGGTGTTGTTTGATGTGGTATGGTCAGTGTATGTGTGTGTGTGTGTGTGTAGAAGCCTCTTATGGATGTATTGGTAAAAGACATATTAATAAAAGACATTAGCTATAATGTTCCCATTATTGTGGTCCTCAGATGATGACAGTATGTCCCCACTAATCTCTTGTATCTGGCACTGTAACAGGGTACTCGCCCTGTTTAAACGTTTAATTGCAGGATGGTGATTTGATGGACTACTAATTGAATAATAATTGTTAAAATTCTCAGGAGAGTGCATTGAATGGTTGAGAAAAAATGAAAAAAGAAACTAGTTAAAACGATATTTTAAAACAATAAAATTAATTTAAGAACAGTCCCAAGGATTCCGAAGATTCACTAAAATGGAGCAAAACTATGGTTCCCCATCCTATCTTCTTCCCGCCGATAAATAGAAGACATGATTACTGTGTTGTTCGATTTTTTTCATCCTAAAAAATTAAATTCAGAGGTTTGTTTACATTCATAATATCTGTTCAAAACCTGTATATTCTTACAGAAAAGTGTAAACCAAATTCTTCGAGACAAATGAAGGTATGCTTTTTGATATAACGCATGGGGTTTTGTTTACATTATACTATCCGTCTGAGAGAAGTACCCAAATTTTTTAAACCGAAAAGGTACCTGGAGTTTGTCTAATTCCCAAGTTTGAGGTTTGTTTATTTTGATACTGTTCGCCCCTAAAACACATCATCTTTGCAGAAAGAAAGAACAGAAGATTCTGAACAAAGGGAATACCACCATGCATCTCTTTTTTCCCATCTATGGGTTAAATATCCGGGAATACTCGGCTCTTAAACCATGGTTGGTAACCAGACTTGGAGAAGAACAATTCTGAATGCAAAACCGGTTGGGCTTAATGTGCACTTGGAAAAGGTATGAATCTATTTCCCACCTGATATGGGTTGAATAGTAGAATGGACTGGATACTTCAGTCTTGATTAACAACCAGTGTTCAAGAACAATGAATAAAATTTTAAAAATCGCACGTAGCCCTGGTTAAGCACTTACTATATGCAGAGATAATGAAAGGATAAGGGAGTTCATGATGACTGCAGTCCGGACCTTGGATGGTAAAACGAAAAGGTCGAACGATCTTTTTTTCCGTCCATTTCAAATCGTAAATTTATGCGAAATGAGAAAGAAAAATCGTTTTCTTGACTTAGTTTTCCTTTATTGTTATTTTGTCATATTTTAAAAAATTATTTACGAGAAGTGAAGGTGGAAAGTTCTTTTTCCGACTAAGAAGGGTTTCTGATGATTGGGCATTTGGTTCAATAACGACAAGTGCGTTAGAAGGATAACTTTTCAGCATCTCCCTCCTTTTTTATTTATTTATGCTTTGTTTTTCCTTCTCGTTTGCTCTCATGGATGACAGGAATGACGATAGGCGGGCAAACATTGTAACAGGATCATGAAGTAAGCAGCTAAATTAGCAACCATTGAGTGCGTGTGTGCGTGTGTGCGTGTGTGTGTGTGTGTGTGTGTGTGTGTGTGTGCTTGTATACGTGTGCGTCTTTCTGCGTATAGTATGTGCTTGGATATGTGTGCACGATTATGTGTGAATTTGTGATGGTGTGTATATGTGCGTATATGACTGCGTGTGTGTGGGTGCGTACGTGTCTGAACGTATGTATGCGCCTATGCGTATCTTCGTGTGTGCGTACGTGCTTTTGTACATGTAATATGTGTATATGTGTGCGTACGAATGTGTATGTCTGCGTATATGATTGCGTGTGTGGGTGCGTGAACGTGCGTATGCGCATATGTGTGTCTTCGTGTGTGCGTACGTGATTTTGAACATGTACGTATGTTTGATTGTATGTGTGAGTGCGTATGGGTCTGAGAGTGTTTATGCGTATACATGGAAGGATTTTCGTGTATCTGTGTGCGTGTGTGTTTATTTGTGTGTGTGCGTGTGTGTTTATTTGTGTGTATGTGTGTGTGTGTGTGTGTGTGTGTGTGTGTGTGTTCATGGACTCATTACATATTTCGGATGATGAGATTACCGAAAATAAATTTCAGTAGTGACAAATGCTCATCTTTTTTGGCATCAACGTTCGCTTTTTGATGAAAGGGTGGGGTTCGTCCTCACGTGACATAATCTGGGTAAAAGCCGCTGACAATGCGAATAATCCCAAATCGACGCAGATCTTCAGACCTGCTTTGTATCCTGTAGAGCCGGGTCCAAACTATGATCCTTTGACCCTATAGGAGAATTGTTATTATAATGATAGCACTTCGTATATGGGATGTTCCTAGTAGGCTGATCTTCTTGGCAACTTGTATGTTGATGTTACCTGGGACACTGTTAGTAAAATTGCCCATTTCTTTTTTCACAAAGCCTAGAGTTCCGATTACTACAAGTACAGTCTAAGTCTTCATTCCCCACATCATGTTATTCTCGATCTCCAGGTCCTTGTATTTGGACAATTTCTCGATAATTTTATGGAGGTGTTTCTCGCAGATGGTGCTGTTATATCAATAAGCATACACTTCCTGAATTTCTTGTTTATTATTATTATTATTATTATTATTCGTAGTAGTACCAGTATTATTATTATTATTAATACTATTATTACTTTTTTCTGTAGAGCCGGGTCCAAACTATCGTCCTTAGGCTCTATATGAGAATTGTCATTTAATTGATTGCACTTTCAGTTTATTCTGTAGATCTTGATCTCCAGGTCTTTTTATTTGGACAATTTCTCGATAATTTTCATGGAGGTGTTTCTCTCAGATGGTACTGCTGTGGGAATAAGAATACACTTGCTGAATTTCTTGTCTTTTATGATAATATCAGGTCTGTTGGCTTTTATTTCCCTAT